AACAGCTTGTCTCGACAGCTTGCAGATGCAGACATATGGCGCCAAAGTAATAAATATTGAGGGAGATAATGGCCCCCTGCCGTGAGAGACACCCGACACCTATCCGGTTTGAGGAGAGACGGATTCAGGGTCTTTACAGTCTAAAAACGACTCTCTTCTTAGTACTAACATAGAGTCGGGCCGGCGCCAGTTTTTGGGGTCGTGCAGGTCGTTTTCAGACTCTAAAACAGCGTCGCTTGTTCTATGCGGGCAATCTAAATGTTGTCTAAATGTTATACAAATAGCAAAATGTTGTCTAATTGCTGTATAAAAAACAAAAAATTCCAAACAAAATGTTGTCTAAGCGGTATATATATAACAAGCGAATGTTGTCTAACTGTTATATAACAAACAAACGTTGTCCAAATGTTGTATAACAAACAAAATGTTGTTTAAATATTATAAAACAAACAAACGTTGTCTGAATGTTAACAAACAAACGTTGTCTAAATGTTATATAACAAACAAATGTTGTCTAAATGTTATATAACAAATAAAAATGTTGTCCAAATGTTGTATAAAAAGCAAAATGTTGTCGTAATGGTGTATAACAAAAAACATTTTATCTAAATGTTTTATAACAAACAAAATATTGTCTGAATGTTGTATAACAAACAACAAGTTGTCTGAATGTTATATAACAAACTAAATATTGTCCAAATGTTGTATAACAAACAACATGTTGTCTGAATGTTAGATAACAAACAGAACAAACAAATTTTCCGTTCCCAGCCCTATATAATCGCTAACTTAAATCATATCCTTACCCCCCCCCCCTCAATTAAACACGGATATTCTTTCTTCTATTTTAGTATTCTCCCCCGCACATTCTTTATATTAAAATTGTTCTTGAATTCAAAATGTTCTTAGTTAAATTCAAACTTTACGCATTGTATTTTAACCTTCACATTTTTTTAAAATTTTAGATTGATTGCTAAATAAGAGCAACATAGAATAGAAATTGAAACAGTAAAAACAGTAAACCGGAGGAATCTTCTACAATATATAATTTTAACTGGTTTGACGGTTTGTCTGTATCCAATAAACGTAAAAAAGGCTGAAAGAATCAGGCCCAAATGTTTAGTGGCAACTCACTTGAACCCAGGGAAGGTTTATGGAAAATATAAGTGAAGAAATGTCAAAATCTTTTAATTTTATAAATCTATCAATGATAACAGAAAAATTTGTAAAATTTGAGTTTTACGATTACGAAGAAAAAATGGCCGCTTGAAAAGCAATGTTTTAACGCTAAAATTGTAGTTAGGAAAGGGGCGCTGTATGCCTAGTCTAGTTAATCTAATATATGTTGATTATTACAATTCTTTGTTTTTTAGGTTCGGGTTGGGGAGAGATCCTTCTCCTTTAAGAAAGATCAAACTGTGATAGATTCTCCTACAGCTTGTAAAAGTAAGTAAATATTCACTTTTCTAAAAACTTGCGTCTTTTTTAGAAACCGGATTTCTTGAACTGCATTGCAAAAAAAAATGTACAAACAGTAGATTATTATTATAATTGTTATTTTTATTGTCATTTACAGCTTTAGTAATACTACTATTATTAGTATTATTATTATTATCATCCTTGTTTCTAATATTTCATTATTCTTCTATATAATAAAGCTCTTCGCTCATATATATTTGTGTGTATGAAGCTAAAGCTGGCCAAACGGCTGGACCAAATCGGCTGATTTTTTTAGGGAACCCATGGATGCCAGGGGGTATAGGTTAAAAACTTTCAAAATTCGATTTTTTTATTTCACAGGCAACGCCGGGCACTTCAGCTAGTTAGTATTATCATTATTCTTATTATTAATATTATTCTTATTATGAGTATTATCGCTATTTTTCATTTTTATTTACATATTTAGTATCATTATTATTATTACTACTATTATTACTATTATTATTAACGTTGTTACTATAATTTTATTAGTTTTATTATCATTCATTATTATAAATATAATATTTGTGTTTAGTCCATGAGGAGCAGTTGTCTCTGGGTGTGCTACACCACTGGCACCAGATTCCCCGGGTTGGATGTCACCTTGTTCCTGAACATATTGAGACAAGAGCTCTTTACAACCCTGATAAACCAGGGATAGAACAGGTACAGGGTATCCCAGTAAACATGGGATAGAACAGGTACAGGGTATCCCAGTAAACATGGGATAGAACAGGTACAGGGTATCCCAGTAAACATGGGATAGAAGAGGTACAGGGTATCCTAGTAAACATGGGATAGAACAGGTACAGGGTATACCAGTAAACATGGGATAGAACAGGTACAGGGTATCCCAGTAAACATGGGATAGAACAGGTAAAGGATATCCCAGTAAACATGGGGTAGAACAGGTACAGGGTATCCCAGTAAGCCAGGGATAGAACCGGTATAGGGTATCCCAGTAAACATGGGGTAGAACAGGTACAGGGTATCCCAGTAAGCCAGGGATAGAACCGGTACAGGTTATCCCAGTAGAACAGGTACAGGGTATCCCAGTAGAACAGGTACAGGGTATCGCAGTAGAACAGGTACAGGGTATCCCAGTAGAACAGGTACAGGATATCCCAGTAGAACAGGTAGAGGGTATCCCAGTAGAACAGGTACAAGGTATCCCAGTAGAACAGGTACAGGGTATCCCAGTAGAACAGGTACAGGGTATCCCAGTAGAACAGGTACAGGGTATCCCAGTAGAACAGGTACAGGGTATCCCAGTAGAACAGGTACAGGGTATCCCAGTAGAACAGGTACAGGGTATCAAAGTAAACATGGGAATCAAGGGACAGTTCATGAAAGTCGTCATTGATCTTTGTTGGTTATGATGTACAAGTTTTATGAAAACATCTTTAAATAGGATGTATATGATCTAAAAAAGGTTTATTTTACTACAATTACAACCCTTTTAAAGAGAATTTATAGACACAAATTCAAGTACCCATTGCAATGAGATATGTAAAATGTTTTCTTAGTCTCAGTCCTCAGTCTGTTGTTGCTAAGATGAGAGTTGTTGTAAATCGGCTTTGCAGGGGCGGACACAGGATTTAAGTGAGGGGGTGGCAAGATTTTTTAGGAACAAAAAAATTGATAATTAGGAACAAAATTAAAGGATTAGGACAGGAATTTAGGAACAATAAAAAGATTGTCCAGGAATTAGGAACAAAATGAAAGGATTAGGACAGGAATTTAGGAACAATAAAAAGATTGTTCAGGAATTAGGAACAAAATTAAAGGATTAGGACAGGAATTTAGGAACAATAAAAAGATTGTTCAGGAATAAGGAACAAAAATAAAGGATTAGGACAGGGATTTTAGGTGGGTCGGACACAGTATTAGGAACAGGAACAATAATAGGAACATTAGCAATTTAAGAACAAAAAGAAATTACTAGTTTCTTACGAATTTCTAATTCTAAATTTATCGTTAACAATAACATTTACTTGTTGTCGTTGATTTTTAAATTAAACTGAAGAAAAGACTCAAAATGTGCAGTGTGCCGCGTACCAATAAAACAAAACAGTAAACACAATGTCTGTCGTCGTATACTTACATCATTGGTTAAAAACTTATATTTATTTTTAACAAGCTAGAAAAATATTTTTTTCGTCCTTCTCTTCTGATGATTCAATTTTTCAATAAATATTGATTATTATATTTCCATTAAATAAAATTATCAAAAATTATGAAAAACACATACGATTTATCAAATTGGGAACATTTTTTGCCTCGAAATCTCAGGGGGGGGGGGCTACGCCCCTCCCTGAATCTGTCAGGGGGTGGCGAATGTCCCCCCGCCACCCCCCTGTGTCCGCCTTTGCGGCTTTGTATGCATAAAGTCACATGAATTTAGGCCAACATTAATTTTAAATGAAATGATTATGATTGTAGGGTAAAGTAGAGATGTGGGTTGATATGTTTCCTATGGATATGCCACTTCCCAGTCTTCAAGTTGATATATCACCAAGGTATATTTGATATATTATAATCTAGGCTTTTAGAGCGCTTCGTGTCCCCTTTCCTATGAAAACTTTTAGCATTTTATCGTTCTCAAATTTTCTGGAATTTCTGCTTAAATTCGTGGATTTTCTAAAAAAATAAATGTCCAAATTTTAAATTTTGATGGTCCAAAATAATAAAATATTAAAAAAAAAAGATCTCTAAACTGAATAAATCAAATTGTAGTATTGATCCCCCCCCCTGGACAAATTCCTGTATTCCTTCCTCATAAAATTATATTGTTTATTAGAAAACCGAGTAACTGGGAGCTATGAGTAATAATTTGGAATAATTACATTGTTTACTAGAAAACCGAGTATCTGGGAGCTAGAGTAATAATCTGGAATAATTATATTGTTTATTAGAAAACCGAGTAACTGGGAGCTACGAGTAATAATCTGTAATAATTATATTGTTTATTAGAAAACCGAGTAACTGGGAGCTACGAGTAATAATCTGGAATAATTATATTGTTTATTAGAAAACCGAGTAACTGGGAGCTACGAGTAATAATCTGGAATAATTATATTGTTTATTAGAAAACCGAGTAACTGGGAGCTACGAGTAATAATCTGGAATAACAAATTCCTGTATTCCTTCCTCATAAAATTATATTGTTTATTAGAAAACCGAGTAACTGGGAGCTATGAGTAATAATTTGGAATAATTACATTGTTTACTAGAAAACCGAGTATCTGGGAGCTACGAGTAATAATTTGGAATAATTATATTGTTTACTAGAAAACCGAGTATCTGGGAGCTACGAATAATAATTTGGAATAATTATATTGTTTACTAGAAAACCGAGTATCTGGGAGCTACGAGTAATAATCTGGAATAATTATATTGTTTATTAGAAAACCGAGTAACTGGGAGCTACGAGTAATAATCTGGAATAATTAAATTGTTCATTTGAAAACCGAGTAACTGGGAGCTACGAGTAATAATCTGGAATAATTATATTGTTTATTAGAAAACCGAGTAACTGGGAGCTACGAGTAATAATCTGGAATACTGATGAGGTTGTACTCGAAGACGATGCTTTCTTCAGTGGAGAAAAGATGAGCGATATTTATGTTAAAGGGTAAATTTGAAATATATGTGTAAGTTAGAAAATAAAAATCGGTAATTTCCCAACACAACCTCCCTTAAAGCAATTTTTCCATCACAGCTTCCCCAACAGCAATTCCCCCAATCACTAATTTCCCCATAATAGCAACAACAATCTCCCCATTCAGTGAAGTTCTTTAATAAAATGATCAGTATTAGAAAATCTTGAAATAATCTTTAATTAAGTCAATTATTGGAATAAATTAACATACAATAAAGCTGTTCACTCATATATACATGTTAGAGTAATAAAACGAAGAGGTAAAGCTAACCCTTGATGTACACAACCGACCTCCCTATTAATTAATTTATAGAGTGGTCGGTTATGTACATCTATATCACACTCTATACAAGTGTACTGTGTTAGATACGTAAACATAGCGTGATGTACACAACCGACCACACTATTAATTAATTAATAGGGAGGTCGGTTGTGTACATCTGAGGTAAGCTTTACCTCTTCGTTTTATTACTCTATGATGTTAGCTATAGCTGGCCAAAATTGGCTGAAATCTTTTTTAAAAACCCATGGGTACTTGTAACTCTCAGGGTAACATAGACTGAAAAAAATTGAATTTTTTTCAATTTTTTTTAACTTCCACGGGCAACGCCGGGCACTTCAGCTAGTATTTTATAAAAATGAACAAACTTTACGAAATTACACCGAATTCTTAATATCTATTAGCTATAGCTGAACATAGAAGAAAAAAATCTAAATATCTATCTGCAAAGTGCAAACTGTCGATGGAAAAATATTTCTGTAGTGGCCAAAATGATGACCCTATTTAAACTAAATTGTGTATTTCAAATTTGAAAAGTTGCGAATTTTTCGTTTTCAATTTCCACAATTGAAATATTCATCAGAATGGAATCTTAAAAGTGGATTTATTTTTGTTTTATTACATGGGGCATTAGTTATTGGGGAAATCTATTTTTCAGTTTTTACACTTTTTGTTTAACAAAGAATTACACTAAACAAAATGGTTTACGACGTCTAACGACAATCCTTCCTGGGCCGGGTTAGATTTATTAAATAACTTTGCTTCCCATGAAAACTTTATTCTTTTAATGATTTGTAAATCATTATTTAATAAAATTATTTAATAAAACAGAAAATCTCTGTTTTTTATATATATGATATATATAATGTATAGTGTACGGAACAGAGAAATATCATATGGAATTGACCAATTTTTAGATTTTCTTTCTTTATTTAAATCCATATTAAGTTTCTATCTAATTATAATACTAATATTCAAATATCTACATAAAACCACCCCTTAGAAATACGATCACTCTATATACAAGTGTACAGTGTTAAATACATAAACATATCGTGATGTATACAACCGACCACTCTATAAATAAATTAATAGGGAGGTCTGTTGTGTACATCTGAGCTAAGCTTCACCTCTTCGTTTTATTACTCTATGGAAAATATTGTCTATAGTTAAAATGGCATTAAAAAAGCTCTAGTTAAATTACATAAAAATTTCCAAAAAATCAATTTTTTTATATTCCTGTTTTTTTGTCTGTTTAAAACAAACAATGTTTCATGTCTTGTAGTAATCTTCAGAAGTAAATAAACATTTATACGTTATACATACTCAAGATTACATCCAACATGAAACACTGTGTTCATGATGAAAATGTTAAAAACAAATAGTTGTGTTTCCTTGTATAAATAAATAACATATTTATAAATTTGTTTTATTATGTTTTTTTTTAAGTTTATGCAATCCAAAGTTTGCATGCTATTGCGTAAAAATCTATCAAAAATTTGGCAAGTAAAACTAGAAACCAGCGCATTGTATTTCAAAATGTATTTATCTAGGGCTACAAAAAAGTAAAAGTGGGTTTCTAAATTTAAAACCAAAGGCCCCCTTCTAAGTCGACAAAAAACAGGTTCCAATTGAGCGCCGGCTAAAATCTCAAAACACGGAATACAATTTCAAGTGGAACCAGCCATGTTTGAACCGCGTATATTAGAGCTGCGGCTCAAATTCCTTAAATTCGGCCTCAGGACTTGAATATTGATGTACAATTCATATATTTCTCTGGGTCTCTGTAATATACAGGAATTTTTTTTTCTATGTTACAAAAATTATTCTAGCATTTTGATGATTACATTTTAAAAATTTTAGATTAATATCCTAGATTTTCTATAAAAATATTTATATTTAGTTGGTTGAAGGGACCAGAGGATACACAGGCCACTGATGTTCATTATAGATCTTTAACAGGTTACTTCTTGGTTTTAAAAAAAGGAAAAAAGTAAAGAAAAAACATAATTTTTTATCCTATTAAAAAAAATTTTTTAATACCAATAAAACTAACAGATTTTAAAATTTCCAGATAAATATATTGTAAAATATATATGATATTATCAAATTTTTAATCAATCAAACTAGGAGTTGAGTTTCGAAGCTTTGACTTTAATTTGACTATAATATATATATTAATCGCTAGAGAGAAACAACAACAAGAGAGTTAGATGCATTCCTTGATGCATTTATTATTACATTTGGAAAATTACAAGGAAATACAAATTTGGAGTTGTAAATAAATGAATATATATCGCACATTTTCTTAATTATTAGACATACATATTTGTAAATTATATGAGTTAAACGCTTTGAAATATTATTTTTTTCTTTCTTTTTTTGTAATGGAAGAACAAAAGATGAGAATCTTTTTCGAATTTGGTTGAAAAAGTTTGTCTGAAAATCAGCATAAATCATAAATCCTGGTGAATAAATGCAAATAACTTTGTTTATTTCTTTTATTCTTTTTTTACACTATAGATTTGGCTCTCATCTAATTTTTTATGTTCTAAACATAAAAATCTGTTTTAAATTTAAAAATTTTCGTTCTATTACTTTATTTTTTTCTATTTTCCTTTTATTTTCACTGTAAATTTTACTGTAAGCAAAAAGATATTCTTCTTTTTTATCTAAATGCATCCTTTTTTATTAAAAAACTATTAAAAATATTGATAGTTTTATTTTTTTACTTTATTCTGAAAACATTTCGGTAATAAAAAATTAGCAACCTGATTTCGTAGACCTTTGATATTTTAATTAATTAATTTTGATAGATCAAGTAGTGAAAGTTTGGAAAATTAAAGGTTTAAAGAATCAGAGTCAAAGTTTGGAATATTAAAAGTTTACAGAATCAGAGTCAATGTTTGGAATATTAAAGGTTTACAGAATCAGAGTCAAAGTTTGGAATATTAAAGGTTTACAGAATCAGGTTGCAAAGGCGAAAGTAAAAGATTGTGACAAATATTAATATTCTGACTCAAAATAAAATTATAATATTTCAGGGGAAGGAAACTTTAACTGGAGATTTATTTTCCCTTTCCAGTATCTAGCAGCCGAGGAGAAGGTTATTTTTTATTTTTACACTTTTTGTTTTCACATTGTTATGATGTTATATTTCCTAATGTATATATTATCAGGTTATATCTGATATTGTTATCATGTTATATTTCCTAATGTATATATTATCAGGTTATATCTGATATTGTTATCATATTATATATCCTATTTTATATGTCCTTTTGTTATCAGGTTATATCTGATATTGTTATCATTGCTATCAGGTTACATTGTTTCATCTCCTACTGTTATCATGTTATATCTCATATTGTTATCATGTTATATCTCCTATTGTTATCATGTTGTATCTCCTATTTCTATTGTTATCAGGTTAGATATCAAAATAAATTGTTATCACGTTATATCTCCTATTGTTATCAGGTTATATCTGAAATATGTATTCTTATCATATCTCCTATTGTTATCATATCTCATATTGTTATCATATCCCATATTGTTATCATATCTCCTATTGTTATCATATCTCATATTGTTATCATATCTCATATTGTTATCAGGTTATATCTCCTAATGTTATCAGGTTATATCTCATATTGTTATCATATCTCCTATTGTTATTATATCTCCTATTGTTATTATATCTCATATTGTTATCATATCTCATATTGTTATCATATCTCATATTGTTATCATATCTCATATTGTTATCATATCTCCTATTGTTATCATATTGTTATCATATCTCATATTGTTATCATATCTCATATTGTTATCAGGTTGTTATCTCCTAATGTTATCAGGTTATATCTCCTAATGTTATCAGGTTATATCTCATATTGTTATCATATATCATATTGTTATCAGGTTGTTATCTCTAAGAAGGAGAGTGTATTCTCCTGGGATGAAACTATTTCTAAGATTCCTCCCCGGCTAGATCTTCAAGTGTGGGACGCTGACTCCTTCAGTAAGGTAACAGTTTAAACATAGACAGAAGTATAGAGTGGAATTAAGTCCAAAAAAAGGAGGAAAAAACTCCATTTTGTGGTTTTGTTTCCATACTGCAGGTGTACTTCACACATTTGGGCCCTGGAACATCTTTTCATATTAGAATAATTTTCATGAAAATTATTTAATTTTCTCTAAATAAATTCTCAGACAACCTGTCATGCTTTCTCGAATTCATTTCAGCAAAAGTTTTACTTTACATTCCCGAATTCATTTCAGCAGAAACTTTATGAAATACAGGGGGGGCGGCAGGACCTTCGCACCCCCTGACGGATTCAGGATTCAGAATAGCTTCTCAATAGCATTTAACGAAAGAAAAAAACTCTTCTTTAAAGGGACAGTAAAGGAAAAATGAAAGGGGGTATAGGTTAAAAGCTAATCACTTTAGCTCTTGATCGCGACCCATGAAAGTTTTATCTGATGTTCCTGTCTCGAGAAATTGATATAAAACTGTATTAAAATTATATGAAAATTCATATATGTAAAATTTAGAAAATCTTAAACTTAAATCACGTGACCAGAACTTCCACCAATGGCAAAGCAGTATACTGATCACGTGTCTCTGCCTGTATCACGTGACCACTGTACTGCACTGTCATTGGTGGATTTTCTGGTGAAGTAATTCGGACGTGTAAATAATATTATGAATTAAATCTATTAAAAATAGAAATAACAAATATAAAATTAGAATTGGAGTAAACCTAAGTAATAATTAGCTTTCTCGGGGATATTATTGTTTTCTGATTGGTTGCATATTTGCTGAATTTGATCTATTTAAACCCACTACTTTTATACAAAATTGTATATATATTAATTTTCGTATAAATTTGACACAGTTGTAAATCAATTTCTTGAGACAGGACAGGAACATCAGATATAACTTTCATGGGTCGCGATCGAGAGCTAAAGTGATTAGCTTTCAGTCTATACCCCCTTTCATTTTTCCTTTACTGTCCCTTTAAAAAAAATTTACGCCTGCGACACTTTTTTTTGTTCCTAAGTCTGGATTTTTTTGTTCCGACATAAATCTAGCACCCTCTTCACTTAAATCCTGAATCCGTCCCTGTGAAAAGTAGAAATTGTAACGGATACAAACTATACATATTTCTGTAATGATTAAAAATGGTCGACTTTCAAAACAACAGTTAAAAGGTGAAATTGTGAGTAGGAAAATCCTAGTTTAATAATTATACACTAAACTTCCACATAGAGAGACAAATAATCCCACAAGCTGGGTAAACTTTAAATCAGAAATACTTTTGAGGAACTTCAGGCTTGGTCCTCCGAAATGTAATAAATACCGTTGAAAATCCCACATTTATAAACCTGAACTCACCTATATAAATTACGTTGTACATTGTCTGTAAATCTAAATGCGCTTGTAAATAACAACGCAAAACTTGTACTGCGGTTAATCTAATTACGATTGTAAATAACGACCTAAAACTTGGAATTATGTTTATTAACGTAACCTATATCATAGAACTCAAAATAAACGTCAGTTGGAATAATACTCCCCTTTGATTACGGTGTGATGTAATTGTTTCTTAGTTAGCAAACGAGAAGCGTCCTGAATCACTCTCTTGAAATTGGGAATTACATTTAGATGTATCTAGTAAGACAGATACCTGAGAATACAGACTGAGTCGAATCTGGATTGATATTGACTATGGTATTCATAATGAACCTTGAGTTCTAGATTGAGTTGTATCTTGTAAGACAGATACCCGAGAATACAGACTGAGTCGTATCCGGATTGATACTGACCAAGGTATTATTGGAGATCTTAGAGTTTGATATTGAGTTGTACCTGGATTGGTACTGATCTAAAAGTATATGTTGGAGTAGGGCATTTTCTACAAGAATTATAGGATTCTCTGCCGCATTTCGGAATCTAATACTATATGTATGTAAAATATTCTTGTTTCTAATCCAGGATGATTTTCTTGGTTCAATAACCCTTGACCTAAACCGGTTTCCGCGTGGAGCTAAAACCTCTAAACTGTGTACCCTTGATATGCTGAAAACAGATGGGTCTGTTCCTGTTATTAATTTGTTTAAACAGGTAATTTTGAGAACAGTCCTTTAATCATGTAAAAATGTTTTATTAAAAATACAGTTGCAGAATTCATTTATATATTAAACATAGAAAAAAAATATTGATAAATTTAGTCATTTATCACAATTTATCAACATTCATCTATTACTTCTAAAATGCTGATTGTTTTTTTTGCAAAACCAAATTCATTGTGAAATCCTGTAATTTGTTTGTGTTTTTTTTAATACTAAATGGGCCAAATTTACGAATAAGATAAAAAAAAAAATTTATAGAAATGTATTTTAGAAACGGACGAAAGGCTGGTGGCCTTTCTATGCAAAGGATGAAAACGATGAACTTATGCTTCAGGTTAAATATAATTTTATACGTTTAAAGGGACTGTACGCGTAATTTCAAGTGACCCTAAATACGAAGATGGTAATGCCCAATTTACAACGGTACCCTGAAAGTTGAATTAGATATCCATGTTTTGGATTAGTTTTTTTCTGTTTATTTTAATTTTTGAAATTGTAGTTGCACTTCAAAATTGACTTGCGCATTTCTTGCTCACAGAAACAATGGAGAAATTAAAAAAAATAAAAAACTTTTCGAGTAAAAAAAACGATGTTTGCTTCCACATTTCAATCAGATTACGGTTTCAAGGGTCCGTTGTAAATTGGACATAGATGGAGGGTCAGTTAAATTTCAGTTACTTTAAACAATTTTTTTAATCCGTAGTATTTTGAAAGTTTATTAGCGTGATCAAATTTGACCAGATTTGAAAGTGTAGTCTTTTAATGTTTCTAATTTATAGACTTGATTTTAAATAAACCTACAATAGGAAGTCAGAATTTATGAACGAGAAAGGGCTCCTCATAAATTTGATACTCAATTTACTTTTGTTTCTTAGATCTTGATTTTAATCTTAATTTTTGGCTTGATTAGACCTGTGTTCTGATCTCCATCATGATCTTGATCTTGTTACTAACCTTGGACAAGACTTTTTCATGATCTTAATCTTGATCTTGAACACTAAATAACTGGGATCTTGATCTTGATCTTGATCTTGATCTTGATCTTGATCTTGATCTTGATCTTGATCTTGATCTTGATCTGACCTTGATCTTGATCTTGATCTTGATCTTGATCTTGATCTTTATCATGATCTTGGTCTTGATCTTGATCTTGATCTTGATCTGTTACAGGGTAAAGTTGAAGCTGAGCTGATAATGTTAACTGCTGAGGAAGCTGAGAAGGCTCCAGCTGGTCTGGGTAGAGAAGATCCTAACGGTCTAGAGAAACCTACGTAAGTAAACAAACAAAAAGAGGACACTGACACTTTTATTCCAAGGAACTATTCACGTATTTTCAAGTGACCAACCATTTACAAGACAGATTCACAATGGTACTCTTTAAATTTTTGTCAAAACAAAAATGATGGGAAAGTTTCTCTATTTCAAAAAGGTTATTGAAACATAAGTTAAATGGAGTATGTGTTCAAACAATCCTTCTAAATATCTTTGAAACCCGGTTTTGCCTGTAAACATACTTTCTTACTAAAAGTCAACCCACCCGACTTAGAATTTTTAAAACAAGCTAAGAAATTCCCGAGTAGGGTTTCCACGAAATGAACATATTTGTTCCTCAAAATAATGTTCCCGCAAATTGGAATAAATTATTTTTTGATATTTTGTGAATAAAATGAAATGAGTGTTTCTAACATTCCGACATTTCTTTTCTTCTCTTTAAATTTAATTAAAGTTTGTTGAATTTATTTCCCTTCAGTGTTTCTCTTCCATTTTATTATCATTTTAGTTTTAATTCTAAAGTGTGTTCAGAATAATAAAAAGATTATTTGACAAACAACGAATAAAAATAGAAAACAAAGAAAATAGATATTGCAATTGTTTATTGATGTATTTTTATTTGATTTTTCTACATATAAAATATACAACATCTCTGATTTCAAACAGATTTAGGCTTTCACTGAATTGGATTTTATATCTAATACATAAAAGATTTACAATTTTTCTTTTCTTTTAAATCAAATATTTTTATAGAAATTTTTCTTTGAATGAAAAATATGGACTTTTGTAATAATTTTTGTTGGCGACACAAAAACTTAAAGGGAGTGTTCGCGAAAAATGAAAGGAGGTATAGGCTTAATGCGATAAAAAAGCGCTTTTAATCGCTACTAATCTTACTTCTATCTGTTTTGTCTATAAGGAGAAAATTGTTAAAACGTCTCATACCGAATAACTTTGCGTCCATACAAATTGAGAAAATTGCAACATACGACTTAGACCGTAAAAAATCAATTTATTTTCAAACAAATCATTTAGATATTACAACCTATAGTCATCGATTGTCTTTCGCCACATTTGTATATAGTTTCTATTTTATAATATTTTTTAATTAATTTTTTTATACTTTTTTTAGAAAACGTTTTAACGGATTTCGAAAAATGTGAGTGGTGCGCGGCATTCTTAGATAGTTGTGCAAGCAACAAAAGAAATAATCAAATTCAAAACAAATTAATTAAGTATTTAGTAAGGCGTTCAGGGGGCTTAAATTAGTTTTACTAGGGATGCGGGCACAGCCCTATAGCCCCCCCCCCCCCGTTATTGCAGGTCCTGACTGCCTAACAGTATAACATAAACTTTCTTCTACTTCAGTCGTCCTGACGCTTCGTTCATGTGGTTTCTGAATCCTCTGAAATCCATCAGATATATCATCTGGCACAATCATAAGTGGACAATCCTTAAAATCCTTGGAATCCTCTTCTTTAGGAAAATAGAATTTTTTAGATAATTTTGTCTCAACACAGCTAGGTTTTTAGCGTTCATGTAAAAAGAGGTATAATATATTTTTAAAAATTATCTGACAAAAAAAAAGATAATAAATGAAACTTTTTTTGCCACAAATTATATTATGAAACTTTTTTTGCCACAAACTCAAATTTTCTAATCCCTATATCTTTGTAACCTGATGGTGTAAACCTTTGATAATTCAAATTTAGAATATATTATCTAACAGAATTCATAGTTTGTGGAAAAAAAACTTTGTCCCCTTTAAAGAATTGAAAAACCAGAAAGTTTTTGTTATGTAAACGTTTGCTTTTAATTACTAATGTTCGATATTTGAAAATTGTGAGATTTCTCATATTTGAATATTTTCTTAAATTCTAAAATTTGTTTAGTCTCTTCCTCATTCTTTTCTTCTACTCTCTTCCAGGTTAGATTCTTCATTTTAATTCAGATAAAAACTTATTTTAATTAAATAGGAAGTAAAAGTGAAAATAAGAAAGGGAAGTAAGTATAGAGAAGATTAAAGGAAAGTAGCGAAACAAGGAAGAAATTGAAGACAGAGAAGTAAGAAAAAAGGGAAGGAAAAAGATAGGGAAGTAAGAAGATAAGGAAGTAAGAACATAAGGAAGTAAGAAGACAAGGAAGAAAGAAGACAAGGAAGTAAGAAGACAAGGAAGAAAGAAGACAAGGAAGTAAGAAGATAAGGAAGTAAGAAGGTAAGGAAGTAAGAAGATAAGGAAGTAAGAAGATAGGGAAGAAAGAAGACAAGGAAGTAAGAAGATGAGAATACAGAATACAGGGACGTATGAAGGTAGGGAAGTAAAAAGATAAGGCAGTAAGAAGATAGGGAAGTAAGAAGATCTAAGTAAGAAGATTGGGAAGTAAGAAAATAAGGAAGTAAGAAGATAAGGAAGAAAGAAGATAGGGAAGTAAGAAGATAGGTAAGTAAGAAGATTAGGAAGTAACAAAATAAGGAAGTAAGAAGATCAGGAAGTAAGATGATAAAGAGGTAATAAGATAAGGAAGTAAGAAGATAAGGAAGTCAGAAGGTAAGGAAGTAAGAAGATACGGAAGTAAGAAGATAAGGAAGTAAGAAGATAAGGAAGTAAGAAAATAAGGAAGTAAGAAGATAAGGTAGTAAGAATATAGGGTAGTAAGAAGATAGAGAATAATGAACACAAGGAAGTAAGAAGATAAGGAAGTAAAAAGATAGGGAAGTAAGTAGATAGGGAAGTAAGAAGATAAGGAAGTAAGAAAATGAGGAAGTAAGAAGATAAGGAAGTAAGAAGATAAGGAAGTAAGAAGACAGGAAAGTAAGAAAACGGAAAAGTAGGAAAACATGGAAGTAAGAAGACAGAGAAGTAAAAAGAAAGGGAAGTAACAATAAAAATTATTTAGAAAATAAAATATTGTATTATAGAGGACGTGAGTCAGACTCTAATAAAACGCATAAATAACTTCCAGTATATATATTTCTTATAACTTATTACTAGAGGGTTCAGAACTAGAGTCAATATCGATATCGCACGTGTAGACTGTAGANGAATACACTATTAAGAAGATAATATATTGTATTGTAGAGTACATTATTAAGAAGATAATATATTGTATTGTAGAATACACTATTAAGAAGATAATATATTGTATTGTGGAATACACTATAGAGAAGATAATATATTGTATTGTAGAGTACATTATTAAGAAGATAATATATTGTATTGTAGAGTACATTATTAAGAAGTCAATATATTGTATTGTCGAATACACTATAAAGAAGATAATATATTGTATTGTAGGATACACTATTAAGAAAATAATATATATAGAAGTAATAATAAAAATAATATATTAAGAAGATAATATTGTATTGTAGAGTACATTATAAAGAAGATAATATATATTTTGTTGTAGGATACACTATTAAGAAGATAATTTATTGTATTGTAGAATACATTATTAAGAAGATAATATATCTTGTATTGTAGGATACACTATTAAGAAGATAATATATTGTATTCTAGGATACACTATTAAGAAGATAATATATTGTATTCTAGGTTACACTATTAGAAAGATAATGTATTGTATTCTAGGATACAATATTAAGAATATAATTTATTGTATTCTAGGATACACTATTAAAAAGATAATTTATTGTATTCGAGGATACACTATTAAGAAGATAATATATTGTATTCTAGGATACACTATTAAGAAGATAATATATTGTATTTTAGGATACACTATTAAGAAGATAATATATTGTATTCTAGGATACACCATTAAGAAGATAATATATGGTATTGTAGGATACACTATTAAGAAGATAATATTTTGTATTCTAGGATACACTATTAAGAAGATAATATATTGTATTCTAGGATATACTATTAAGAAGATAATATATTTTATTCTAGGATACACTATTAAGAAGATAATATATTGTATTTTAGGATACACTATTAAGAAGATAATATATTGTATTCTAGGATATACTATTAAGAAGATAATATATTGTATTCTAGGATACACTATTAAGAAGATAATATATTGTATTCTAGGATACACTATTTATAAGATAATATATTGTCTTCTAGGATATACTATTAAGGAGATATTATATTGTATTTTAGGAAACACTATTAAGGAGATAATATATTGTATTCTAGGATTCACTTTTAGAAGATAATATATTTTATTCTATGATACACTATTAAGAAGATAATATATTGTATTCTAGGATACACTATTAAGAAGATAATATATTGTATTCTAGGATACACTATTAAGAAGATAATATATTGGGATACACTATTAAGAAGATAATATATTGTATTCTAGGATATACTATTAAGAAGATGCTGAATGCTTAACCTACTGTTCCCCTCTATCTACCAACCATTCTTTATATCACCAAGGATTGTAAAAACAAGGAGAGTTGATTTATCTCTCCTTATTTTAACAATCCTTGGCTCTAACCATATATGTGATCTAAAACATATTATTATGCATATCAATATTTATATCAATTAATATCATCATCTAACATGTTACCTATATAAATAAATATAATCGGAATCTAAAAACCTATTTTTTCATCACAGTTTGTTAGTTGTGGTTTAATACATGTTTTTTTTAAATTCAATATATTAACATTAAATGTTAAAGGGACTCTAAGCATAATTTCAAGAGATCCGCAATTGCAAATAATCAGTTTTCAAAATAATAAACATTGATATCTAGTTCATACTTGATCAGACATTCAAGGATAGCGTTTTGAATTGGGCCTCGCCATCTTTCCATGGAGGGTCACTTAAAATTACACTTACAGTTCCTTTAATCAATTAATCATCATTTTTTTTTTAAATTCTAGAATTATGAAACTTATGTATGAGCATGATGGTGCTTAGTAGAAACATAATGCCGTGAATTAAAGACGATATAAAAGTTGTTACTACACTTATATTTTTTATGTTAATAAGCATTTTGGAATTTAAAGGTTTGCTCTGGCTTTTATTTGAATTATATCAAATTAATGGCGGATAAAAATGTAAAACTACTCTTCTTTTTTCTTCCACTCCATGATACCCATTCTGGCACAAGCCAGGTCACATACAGGGTTACCCACAAAGGGTGAAACTTCAAAGACGACTGTACAGGATTTTGTTGTCTGTTTTCTTATACTTTTGATTTCCTGCAAGTGTAAATTTGTTTATTTCTTTGCCTATTTAATAATTAATCCGTAAAAAAGGATCTAAGTAAGCCTCGGAATTGTCAAATTTAAAGAGTTTCAGGTCGTCTTTACAGTCTCATCCTGTGTGGGTAGCCCTGTAGAACCGTACACTGGGTACACTAGGTGGACTGGTACGAGTGAATGCGTATTTAATACGATTTCTCTAGACCGTTAAACCCTTGTACCGAATCAAATCATGCAACGAACACTGTGATCCAAAAGTTGCAAGCTCTCATGCTGAGAATGGATTAGAACTTTGCCAATTTTTTCTTAAAAAAAAGTTACAAACAAGTGGTTTACAGTTCTAAAATGTATTTATAGTTTAGGATTTTTAAGTAAGTACATCAGGCACTTTAAAGTCCGGCCACCCAGATTTGAAAATTAATGCAACTTTTCGAAGTAGACTGGATTATATCTGATTGGTTTTATGTTTCTTTAACCCTGAAAGTATAGCTTTTTAAGGAATTGTATATAGATTAATCTACCCCGCCATTTTTTCAATCTTCACCGAACCATCTGCAATCCAGCTACATATGACGCAGATAGAACAGGACGTGTCGTCTTTTCTTTTACTAATTCTGACAATAAAAATACTAAAGCTCATAAGGCATTTGTTCTCGTTGTGTTGAATGGTGGGAGTGGTTTATTGTAACACCCGAAACTAATTAGATCTAATTGGATTAACTGACGGTGTCCTGATGTTGGAATTTTTGTATCGTTAATCTCTGGATCCTTTACAGATCTACGAATTAATTGAATTCCTCCTTGATAATCCATGGTGGTTATACCCGGCAGGGATACCATCGATTTAATTAAGATCTAGGATTGATTGACTATTTAGATCAAGAGTTTAAGATTAAGCTGATACTCCACCCAAAAGTTCTGATCTCTGGTTTTTTTGAACTAATTGAACTAATAAATCTAAATTGTGATTTTTTCACCAAAAGCCGTAATAAAAGCATTATGGACAGAACATGACAGAACAGAGTACCTGAATCCCTGAGGTAAAAAAACGTTACAGACACTAAAACAATATTTTTTTCTATGTAATCATACAATCATATCTAGAAGCTGCAGTGCATTTAGATCTTCCTACTCTCAGAATCAGAATTTATTTAAAATTAAATTTTTAACTTTGCGTTTCAATTTTAATCCTGGATCTAACTAACTATACCTTACTCTAATTCTGTGAAGGAGTTATCAACGCAATTATATTTAAGATTCACATTTCGCTTGACTTTTTATTTTACAACTCTGCCCTTTCTCAGACAAAATATTGTAAGTTTTGAAACAGAATTCTTAAACTTAATATCCTCATACCTTTATAGAAGAAGATAAGCAATGAAACTTTAAGTGATCCACCATTTTGAAAATTATTATGAAAATTTCTTGTCTTTGGATTTTTAAATGCAAGGCCTTCCAAAGAATTGATTCTTTGCCACAAACTAAAATTTTATCATCCCTGTATCTTTGAAACCTGATGTTGTGAAAACCTTTATATTTTAAACTTAGACTATTTTATCTACCAGAATTAATAGTTTAAAATATCTAAGGTTTATGACATTGGTTTGCAAAGATATAGGGATTATTTTGAGTTTGTGGCAAACATAATTCCTTTGAACCTTCAAAATACAGAGGTATTAAAAATTTTAAAATTTTGATTTTGAGTTAATTGAAGAAATGTATACAGTCTATAAGTCTTATAGAGCACATTTTGAAAATGTTGAAAAATAAACACCTTGTTGTTCCATGCCAAGACCTCTGAACAATATTATAAACCGTATTTTAATTCCCATGTTTATTGGGACACCCTGAATGGTTACAACATCCTTGCTAATCAAGGATCTCTTTAAACCAAGCCAAAAATGCAACGAAATGCACCCAATTAAATCCACCTTTCAAGATTTTAAGACTTCAGAAAATCCGTGAATCATTCTGCAAAAAATGATCGAATTATGGAGGGTTTGGATTTGTTCTAAATACGCTCCATACGTTGATAAAGATATACATTAAGCTATTAAGTTCATCTTTTATAATTATAAACCTTGGGTATAAACCTTAAACTATTTCCTAGCCTTGAATCTTGATCTCTAGAAATCTAGCCTTTTAGCCTTGTGAAAAATATCTTCATATGAATCATGCTTATTTATTATTTTAACATCTATGCGTCTATTTTAACCAACAACATTAAGGAAATAAGCAGACAATCATTCAATACTGATTAGATAATATCTGTCAAATTATTATCTATCTGTCTAGTTGTCTGCCTAACTACCTGCCTTTAAGTCTACACAATTATGGTTCTATGCCTCTCTCTAGATGCAGGCACAGTCTGGGAAAATAATTAAATAGTATTTCATTTAGAATTTAATATTTTGTAATTGGAAATTGACGTGAAATATGATTTTCATTGACTATTAGAATCTGTAGAATATTTTTCCAGACTGTATTTAGGTCGGGAATAGTTCCCCTTAGCATTGCGACACCTGTGGCGCATTTTCCCCCGCCCCCTTCTCCCCTCCTCCTCCTCCCACAGTTGGACAGTATACTTCGTGGTGAATTGAACGCCACAAAAACACAGTGATAGCAACGGTAGCAAATCTGTTTTTGACACACCTACTGCAGTCCAGCTGAAGGGGTGTGTTTGGATGTACGTATAGATGGTTGTGTAAAGGGTGTGTAGGATGGGTTTAAAGTGTGTAGGTTCAAGATCAGTTTTAATCCAGGTCTACTCTATAGTAGGAGGGAGATCAGTTTTACTCCAGGTCTATTATAGAGTAGAAGGAAAGATGTAACCTTCAGATCCAAATATAAATCTATTGAAAGAGGGAAAGTGATTAAAATTTTTTTTCAAATGAATTATTAGAATTTTCTTTTGTGATTCTCATAAAGAATAAATTGTAAAATTTAAAATAAAAGTTGACAGATATTTAAAAACTGCTTAGGTTATCAATATCTACTATAAGAAACTTTACAAGAAATTTTTTTTCGCGATAAAAACTATAAATACCAGCTGTTAAAGATGAGCAATGCAAAAATTTGTTTAAATCTGATTTTGAATTTGAGTATAAAATTCTGACAACCACATTTGTTGAATTTGTGAAGTTTTTACTTAATTAAACATTTGTATTTTATTCAACTTTTAATGAGTAACCTGACTGAAGCAAATCAATTCGAATTTATTCAACAATTAGAATTTGTCAAGTAAGTTCTAGATTGCAAGGATGAAAATCATTGAAACTGTTGCAATGTGGAGAATTAGACATGTTAAAGGGACTGTACACGTTTTTTTAGTGACACATTCCAAATAAAAAGGGACATGTCCGATTACCTTTTAAGCTTTTGTTTTGCAAAAAGATTTTGTGTAAAGGGTGTATATTGTAAATATTGACATTTCTAACTTTTAATTGTGGTTTCTCCATAAAGTTGCTTGCGGATTTTATGCAGCAGAACCAAAGAATGAAATGTACAGAATTCAACACTTTTTCAGATAAAAACCGACGATAATTTTCTCCATCTTTTAGGGATACTACTCTAGAAATAGAAGGTCACTTGAAATTACGCATACACTCCCTTAAAGATAATTGAAATTGAGATTTTGAAATTGAGGAAAAGATATTTGGACAAATGTATCAATAAGAACTTTTATACTTTTAAATTTTTTTCTCTCAAATCAAAATATTATTTAAATTTTCTAAAGTAAATTGTTTGGTTTTGTCAAAATGCACGAAAACGATTATATGAACACAGATATTGTATATCCTGTGTCCGGGTCCTAGTAAAGCTGAGCATCGTTTGGGTTTTGTTTCTAAACAACAAAAGCTTTATCATTATATACGAGGATTCACAAGATTTTCTTACTTTATGAAAAAAAGTTTACTCTAAGAAAATTTTAGGCTTTGACATCAAAACTTATGCCAAAGTAAAAATTTATCACAATTTAACACAAGAAAAAATATACTACAGTCATAACCAGAAAACTGTGGAATAGAAAGACGACAGTATAGCAATTCTGAAGTGCATTTGATTTTGTTTAAAGAATAGCTTCACTTGAAAGCTATTAAATTACTTATTCAGTAAAATGGGTCTGTTTACATTGCACAAATGATCTGTCTTATGTTCAATGCGCTATTAAAAGTCATAACTTAAGTTTAAAAGTCGACTTCCTATTCTAGAGTTTTCTGGTTATCACTGTACTGCTGGAAATATTAACTAAACGCCCTGCTCACGATCGTTGTTAGTAGAATTTTTTAACTCAAAAGAGCCACGCGCAACTCCAATTACTGGTCGAAAACACGGCTCTGTTCATCAATTCAAATCGTGACTTTTTTGCTATAGTAGAAACCA